ATATATATACACTTATACTTGTTTATATATATATACACACCTTGTTTATATATATATACACACACACCTTGTTTATATATTTATATATATATATATATATATATATATATATATATATATATATATATATATATATATATATTCAAACTCTTTTTTTTAATTATTCACCTCCTCAAGGTGTGTGTGTATATATATATAATATATATATACACACACACCTTGAGGAGGTGAATAATTAAAAAAAAGAGTTTGAATATATATATATATATATATATATATATATATATATATATATATATATATATATATATATATATATATATATATATATATATATATATATATATATATATATAGAAATTTAGACAAACCTAGTCTTTTTTTATATAATGGAGATATACATACAGAGGTTGATTTTAATTTAAAAAATTTAACTTGTTGATTAATCATTTATTAGAACTGACATTCAAATTAGACTTGATTGCTTATATTAGACATGAATGCTAGTTGACAATTGATAATCATTAACACCATTGGTTGACAGTTGATAATCATTAACACCATTGGTTGACAGTTGATAATCATTAAATCCATTGGTTGATCATCAACAATTTGGTTAATCATCAACAATTTGCTAATTAATTTTTTTATATATTTGCTTTTCATTTCATTTTATAAAAAAACTTAAAAAATCTTTTTAGACCTAAAGACGCTATAAAAGCCATTAGAAAACGCTTAACAAGTAGCCAAAAGAATAACAAGTGCATCCTCTATACATTAGTTGTATGTTTATTTTTTGTTATTTTATTAAATTTTTCATAAAAAAATATTTATTTTCAAAATCAGTGACTTTTTTCCCTATTCATCCTATATATGTATATTATCATAAACAATTCTTTTTATATATAACATACATATATTTAATATATATTTAATGTTTGATATACATACTTTTTTTTTTTAAATTCAATTGTGAAATGTTTTATGTTTATATATGACTTTGTTACCGTTTATCATACATTTATGTATGAACTACTGAACTACATAATTTTTACTGTTAAAATAAAGTTTGATTAAGGTTTTAGAAGCAGCAGTTAAGAATTGTGGAATTCGTTTCCATAAACAAGTAGCATCAAAAGAGTTTCTGTCAGATTTAACCAAATTGCTTGGAGGACAAAAAGTAAGATTCAGTTTTTTTTTGAGTTTATTATGTCTCTCTCTTTTTATGTTGTTTTGAGCGAATCAATTAGAATCTATTGTTATGAAGAAGTGAAAAATACTTTACATTTTTCCTCATTTTTACTCTATCACTTTTTAACTCTCTATAATTTTTAAATTAAAATTTTCAATTTGAAGCATTTTTCCTAAGCTGTAAAAAATCTTTCCCTTTCCTTTCTTTTCCTTTCTTTTCCCTTTTAACTGTATCTTTTATTTTTCCTAAGGTGTAAAATAATTACTAAATTAAAATAGTGGTTTCTTAACTTAAAATTTCTTGTGCTAAATTTTTTGTTACTATTTGTTTAATTGTTGTATTATTACTTGCTACTGTATTGTTCTTTGCATATCAAAGGCTCTTAATAAAATTTGACATGCTGGTTTACTCAAAAGCATATTTCATATCATACATATGGGAAAGTTTTGACACAATACTCTTGCCTTGATGATGAAACAATACTCTTGTCTTGACATGATGACACAATACTTCTGTCTTGACAAAATTCAAAATTTTTTGACTGCAGGTAATCAAAAAGTTTTAAAATATTTTGTTGATTTCAAAACAAGAAATTCTCCTTAAATTTAAAAACTCATTCACCCTACCTATTTGAAAAACAACATTTAAACAAGCAATCTTAAAAATAGTTCTCAAAAATTTTTGAGATTACTAAAAAGTCATTAATTGCAAAAGTTAATTTACACTTTTAATTGGCTAGGCAAAGGCAACAGGCTGTAATTTTTAATTTTTGAAAGAAATATTGAGGAAAAGATCTAAATATTATTAAATAAAGTATTTTATTTCTGGCACTATTTATGCATTAATTTCTAAACTTGGTTAAAAAAATTTGTTTTCATGTGAGTTTTTCTTATAAAAAAAAAGAAAACTTATAAAAAAGTCAATAATTACAATTAAAGATTTGCATTAGATATTCGATAAAGATGCTGCATTAGCATGCTGCATAGCAGATAAAGATACTGCATTAACAGGTGATTATTTTAATCAAAGATGCTGCATTATCATGCCATAAAAAAGCGTCAACTCTTTTGAAAAAATTAAGAAATCAAATATAAACATCCATGTTTACTTGACTGCAAGCGATTGCATGAGGTTATTTTGATAGAGGTAGCATTACCAATTTTATAGTTTAGGATTTCTAGAAATGAATTTCAGAAGATAGACAGGCATATGATTGTAAAGATATAAAATTGAATGAATTTAATAAAATGTAAATAATGAATAAAATTGTATATGAAAAAAGGTTTCAAATTGACTTTTTTTTATAGGCATTACATTATTTAAAGAAAAAAATTAATATGGTAAAGCCATTATAATTCAAAAATAGTTTTCCTCAATAAAAATAACTATGTACTTGCACTTTACCCAAAGCATTTTTGGTTTTTTGGTCATACCAAATACTGCCTAATGGGATGAAAATGAAAATATTTATAAAATAATGAAGCAACACATTGGTAAATATTGTGTTATTTTGATTCAGTTGAGTCAATTATGTTTAGAAATTAATTTTTGGTTGCCTACCTTTTATCTATTGCAATCAATCGGCAAAGAGTTGTGTACTCTTAAGAATTGCGTATTAAAACATAAAGTTACCACACATCAAGTTCAGCCACATTTTGTTTTAAAAAAGCCACAGTTTAAAATGGGTAAAGTTAAACAACATCATGTGAATAAAAACAGTTACTACATGCTTGACATTCAAAACATGAACTTTTTATACAGTTTGTATGCCTGGTTTGATGATTCAGAGAATTGTGATGATTTATGTTTCTTTTTTTATGTAGAGCAGGTTTGAAAAATTGTCATAATAAAGAAATTTATTTTGAAAACACTTTGCATCAATAATTTTTTCTATAATTTTTATAATAGTTTTCATAAATAATTTTTTGGAACTGAAGAACTGAAGGTTTTACACAAAGTACATTTCCGGTTATCAGTTTATATCTTTAATGTTTTTCCAGCATTTTTCAACATTAGAATGTATTAATATAGTAACTATCTGAAAATTAAAATCTTATGTAGTGTTTAGAGTTGGCCCAAATAAGCAATTGGTAAACAATAAGAATAGTAAAAATAATGTCAACAGTTTTCAACTATGATAAAAATGTTTAAATACTGTTATCCTAATTTAATTAATAAACTTTTTTAAATGACAATACTTGTTTATATATACTCATTAAATATTTGACAGTACTCATATGTATTCAAATAAAATGATTTGAAAGTACTTATGTGCTTAAATAAAATGGTTTGACACCACTCAAATAAAATTATTTGACAGTACTTAAATAAAATAATTGGACATTAGTCAAATGTACTCAAATAAAATGATTGGACAGTACTCAAATAAAAAGGTTTTCATTTCTGTAACGGCCATCAAACTAAAGCAAAAATAAAAAATAAAATTAAAATAACAAAAAATTAGTTTTGTAAAATCTTTTCATAATTTGAATAGTAAAATATATTTTTTTAATTAAATATTTTTTTAATAAATAGTAAAATATATTTTTTTAATTAAATATTTTTAATGATATAATTGTTTATGCTTTTTTTTTTTTTTTTTTTTTTGTTGTTGAGTTTTATCCAAATTTAAGATAATGAATATCAAAACTCAGATTTTTAGTTGATTGCAACATAAAGTATAGATAAAAAGTATGTAAAAAAATTTTACTCGAAATTAAATAACTTTTTATTAAGTTTTTACTAAGTTTAATCAACTTTTTATAATTAATAGCTAAACCTTGGTCACACTTTCATATTTACATTACACTTTTTTTGGTCACATTGCACTTTCATTTTTAAGAAGTTTTGCTTTCATTTATAATTTTTTTGCTTATTAAATTTAAAGTTATCAAAACAATTTTACTTTGCTATTTTTTATTTCAGAATCAAGTTGCTGTTTCGCAAGAAGTTCAAGACAAAGTATTATCACTTGTTCAGATGTGGTCAGATGCATTTTCTAGTTCTCCAGAATTTCAGCAAGTCCGAGTATGTTATGAAACTCTAAAAACTCAAGGTAGCTTAAGAAATTCTTGTAAATTTTTTGTTTATGTACTTTTTATGGTACATTATAATAAAATTTAAAAATTATATAAACACTTTCTAGATCTCAGACTAAAAATTTAGCCTGAAAACTAGAAATTGATACCTAATATAACAGTTTAAGAAATACATCTTATGCTTTTCATTCCACCCTAATAAAGAAATATAAAAGTAAAGCATATTATTTTAAATTCTTTTTTAGGAAGCAGACTCATGTAAACCTTTCCAACATAATAAAAGGTTCCCATCCTGGTCTTGAGCAATTTAAGTTCAAAAAATACCAGCCTTTAACTTATATTTTTTGAATTTAAATACTGTACATTGTTCAAATATATATTTTTTTTATACAGCTCACATTCTCTGTTTTGTATTTTTTAAACTTTTTGTTTATTTTTGTTTCATTTTATTGTTATTTTGTTTATAAATTGTTGGTTTTTATTTTAGGTTATGAATTTCCAGCTCAAAATTTGGATACGTTATCTCCTATTTACACACCTAAAAAGGTTTTATTTGCATATTTACTGTAATATTAATGTTACACTAATTATGCAAGTTAGTTTACAGTGTTTCAAGTTAGAGACCATAATTAATTCTCATAATTTTTCTATATTATAAATTTGCTAAGTTATTTATATTAAAAGTAGTTTACCAGTGTTAAAGATGTTTATAGTTTCTAAAATACCAGTGTAACTATTTGTTACAAACACACACCTATAAATTTTTTGATAATTTAAATTAGTTACCAAAAAATAATATTTATCTGTTAATTAGTTTTAAATTTATAAAGTTTGTGGTTAAGCAATTTTCAAGTTATGCAATTAAATGCATAAATTACACTGTCCAACAATGAAAAAATGTAACTTCACATTTATATATTGAAAAAAAAAAAAAAAATTCATAATGTGAAAAATATTTTAATTTATGTTTTATGTATATAAAAAAACTTTTGTAACAGTTTTTTTTTAATGTGGTGATATGTGTTAGTAAATGCTAAAGTAACATTACTGGTTTTATGAAAAAAGTATACTTTGCACATTTTATATTAAAAATGGTATGACAAATATTGGTTTCCTCAAAAATCATTTGATATTGATTCCAAGGATGGTAAATAAAGAATTTAAATTTTATCTGTAGTATAAAGAAAGCAAAAAAATTTAAAGAATATGGCATAAAATTCTGGATTTGAGTACAAGAAGGAAGATCTCAGTGACTTTAATATATCCAAACTATTTATTAAAGTTTAAGACTTCTAATAGATTGTTTGGATAATGTTTTGTTACATTTGAAAATTAATAAAAATACTTATATTTCATTTTCATTTATTTGGTAATTGGTACAATAGTTACACTATGATTGCTGGTTTGGTAATTAAGTCTATATGAAAAAAAATTTAACACAATTTTACAAAATTTAGTCTGCTCCTTAGTCAACAAAAATGATTTTGTTGAAATTTTGATCCTAAACACATGAAAATTTCCATATTTTATAAGTGAATGAACCAAGCAGAGCAAGATTAGTTCAAAAAATGGTCTATAAGTAAAATGTTGGCACCTGGCAAAAAAACATTTTACATAAAACTTTAGTAGACGCCAAAAAAATACACTTAAAGTTAGGTTTAATGAAGAGTTTTTTTGTCTAAAGAGGGTGATTGTTTTATATATTTGTTTAAAAGTTTCCTTACCAATTAAAAGTTAAAGTGAAAAAAGGTTGTTTTTTCTGAACTGATTTTTGTAAAATGTTTGATCCCAGCTTTAAAGCAACAATGAAAAACCAAAAAAAGATTTCATTTAAAGAAGTTACAACTACGTTTTTGGTCAACTTTAAAAACACTATGAACTTAACACCTAACCTTGTGCTATTTATAACAAATAAAATATATGAATTCAAAACTGTGGGTTGTCTGATAAGCCTAGTCCATCTCTTATCTAACCATCTTAGTTTCACTCACATCACCAGTTATTTTTTTTCCTAAAACCTTCAGTGATGTTAACTAAAGGCAGAGCATTTTTAACAGAACATAAAAGAGATAAAGAGTGGGTGATTACTGTTAATCACTTCACAGAAATAAACAAAATGTCTCAATGTCAGGGAAAATGCTAAAAAATTTTGCAGAGTAAAGAGGAAATATGGAGGATTGAGTTATAAAAAAATCAACATCTAAAATATTTTTAATGTAATAATTTAATATCATAGGTAAAAACTGTAATTTAATAAAAAAGGTTTTGTTTTTTTTTTAGGTTTTTTACACTATAATTTAAGTATTTAAACCCATTAATTAGTAATTCACAAAATTTATGTGTTGAACATTTTGAGCTATTTGTTATTATTATATATATATTTAATTATTTTCTGCTATTTGTTAAGTTTTTTAAATTTTACTTTTGATTTTTAAAATTAAGAGAATTTAAAATTTGAAAATAAACAATAAAATACAATTAACATTATTTAATATTTGAAAGAAAAAAACAAGCAGAAATTTGTTACATTTTTTACAAAACATTGTGAAAAATGTGTTCAACAAAACATGGGGGACAAATTCAAAGCTTGATCAAAAACTGAAAAATAAGTAGTATAACAGTTGAACATATTAATTATTAAATAGTTCTTTATGTTTAAAATTTTTTTAAATGTTTGATGCATAATAAGAATCGCAAAAGATTTTCATATTTTATTTGACATTTTTCTCAAAAAATATTTTATAAAACATTTTCTTTAAAAAATGACATTTTCTTTGAACAAAATAAGGTCAAAAAATTGTTTAAAAATTCAAAAATTTTAAAAGCAAACTTAATATTTATGTTACAAAAGTTATTGTTTAAATAACTTCAAAAATTAACTTAATATTTAGTAAGGTCTCCTTTACTTTGAAATAGGGGAAACCTGGACTAGTTGGCTCAGTTTTTACTCTATGAGCTCTGTAGTCCTAACAGCACATATTTTTGAAAATATTAAAGTGTAGTCTTAAAGAGTATGAGCTTATAAAAGTTGCATTCATTTACAAAATGATTGCATTCATTTACAAAAAAAAATTCTTTGGGCCTTTCCCGGCCCTCAAAAAAAAAAAAAAAAAATTGGGTGGGGTAATTTGGAGTAAACTGTGAAAATGATTATTAATGTACTATTAAGTGCAAAATTAATAGAAATTTTTTTACTATTAATTTTGGCAACAGTTTAAAGGCAAATGTTTAATATTACTTTTAGCTGATACTAAATATTACGTATAACAGCCAAAACAGTAACCCACAAATGTGAAAAAGAAACCTAAAAAAATTTTTTTTTTTTCTATAAGAATAAATTCTTTCAATATTGTTAAACATTAAAAAAAAATAGATTAATTTTATAAAAATATTTATTTTTTTCTATAGTAAATGCTATGAGCCAACTTACCCCATGAAAATTTTGCCAACTTACCCCAAAAGACTTTTTTTTCAATAAACAGTCTATAGATCCTGAAAAATGGCAAGTTTGAAAAAAAAGTGTGACTGGAAATAGTAAATTAATTGTGACTGGAACTTTTACAATATTTTCTTTGTTAAGTAAAAAGGAAGCGATGTTCCAAAAGTTATGTTTTTGTCCTAAAAACACAAATCTTAAAAAAGTCAAAAATCTCCCATGCGCATGCGCGAATCCTAACAATACTATAGTGAATGATGAAATAGTCAATTAAGAAGGTTCTGTGTAATTTTTGTCACTTTTTTAAGTCAATTAAGAAGGTTCTGTGTAATTTTTGTCAAAGATAAACGCAGTTTGTCAACTTACCCCTGCTGCCAACTAGCCCCAGTCTCCCCTACTGCTTTTAATTTTTTAGAAATTTTTGATTATTTCCCAAATATTTTTGATAGGATTCAAGGCTTTGTGCAGGCCATCTTGGTGATATTCTTGTCTATGAACTTGAATTGTTTTTTGATTTTCAATGTTTTTTATGTTGAAAAATCCATTTTATACGCATTTTTCATTCATTATGTAGCAATATAACATCTCCCACCGAACACCGAAGTAGTTCATTCTACTCCAAGAAGTAGTTCTTTCTACTTCTACTTTGTGAAGAGGACTTTTTCCGAGCTCCTATTGCTGTGTTTCTTCTTCTATGTTCTTTCTTTGTTTGAGGATGACTCTTTATATATTAGTGATGTATCTGGTGTTCTTCTTTGTTCTTCTTTGGTGTTCTTCTGGTGTTCTTTGGTCTCCAGATTCATTTTTCTTTTGGCACTTTCAATGAGGTTTTGATTCATCACTGTAAAGTATGTTTTTTCACTGGTCTACAGTACAATTCTGGTTTTGGAAGTCTTAGTTTTGTATTTTACAAGAAGTTAGGGGTTTCTTGGCAGCCATTCGAGAGAAAAAATTTTGCTTTATTAGCTCTTCCTTGCACAGTGTAATTGGAGATTTGTAATTCAATTTTATATCTTCTGTTAATTTTGTGGATGGCAAAAATGGATTTTTTTAAAGCTCTTTAGCAATTTCTTGATCTTTGTGATATTTTTTTTGGATGCCCACCCAAATTGCTTTTTTTATAGCAGTAATGAAATTCAAACAATTTTACAGTTTTGCTTGCAGTTGACTGCGATATTATTTGCTACAAAGTTCAGCTTGACATATCCCTGTTTTATAATCTTTAATAATATTTATAAAAATACTTTTTAACTTGTTGTAAGGCATTTTTAATTATAATTCTTTACGCAATAATCTTACATCATGAGTTAAGTCTGCTTTTAATTTAAAAAATTAATTTTAATTTAAAAAATAATCGACCAAACATTGCAAAAAATCAAATAGATAAAAATATTAGATCAAGTGTTGCGAAATCTATTTTATTATTTTAGAGTAACAAATGTTAGACTTTAGCGAAACAAAACAATTGTTTTTGCTTTCAAGAAAACAGTTTGAGTTTCAATACAAAAGTTTGAGTTATCTGGATCAGACAATGCAAATTCTATTTTATTATTTTAGAGTACTTTAGATAAAAATGAAACAAAAGAATGCGGTAAATAGTATAAAGATAATGAAATCTTATAAAAACTTTGATTTGTCTGCCTTGATTTATCTAAAGAAAAATGTTTTTTTTTCTAAAGAAAATGTGGAAATGTAAAAAAGTTTTTTTAATAATTATGAATCAAACATTTAAAATTTTGTTAAGAACATAATAAATTATTAAAAAATATGTTCTATTGCTTAACTCTGGTACTGTAAATACATAAAAAAATAAGTTTTTTTGATTTAGAATGAAAGTAAGAAAATAAATTCTTTAAATCATCAAGAGATACCTTCAAGATCTGGATCTGCTAAAACCAAAGTATGTTGTTTTTTTTTAGTAACAATTTACAATAAGTTTTTTCTTTTATTGAAACCTTTAGTTCTTGATATCTTAAAAATAGTTATCAAATTCTATGCTCATAACTTTTTGTCATTTGATTGAATAGCGTTCATTATGATGAGAACATTCAAATAAATGGCATCATCTATTGCCGTGATAATTTTTATTTTATTTTATCATTATGAATAGATGTGTTTTTTAATTTTTTCATAACATATTTTTTTCAACCAAATTAGAAATACGTGTATTTATGTTGTTTTTTTTTAAATACGAATTTTTTATTATTTTTTTTGCTTCAACAGTCATTGTATATAAAGGATGAACCAAAATAATCAGATTGTCATTAAATTTAAACATTCCTTCAAGTTAGACTTCCTTTTAAATTTTTGTTTATTTTTTTAGCAGTTTGATCGTGTAAGGAATGTCTTAACTATTTGCTTTAATTTTTTTGCTTTTATTTTCAAAAAGATTGTAGGTTTTCTCAAAAGTTTCTCAAATCACAAAATGCTCTCTCTTGTTGATTAAATTGATAATAAATTAAAAAATTGGCTGCCACCTGTGTCACAGCAGGATAGATGTTGTGACTAAATATCTTTAATATATCAAAATATATATATATCTAACAAATAGCTAAAAATCATGGTTGTAATAGGTAAAAAAAATGTTGGTGCCATTATAACCAAGTATAATTATGTAGTGGATAATTATGGTGATTTCCCTCCTCAGGAATGCACTGCGATCACCTATGATATTTAAGGAGTCTGAGACCTGTACTAATGCCACTTGTTAGGAATGTGGCTTTGCAACAGATTTCACTGCCTGCACTTCAATTGGTAATGTTAGGTAAATTGCAATACATAATGCTTATTAATTTTGACATTTCTCTGTGCGCTTACAAAGAAGATTTTAGGATCCATTTTTAAAAACTTTTTTAAAATCCATTTACTAAATTATGTAATTTTATGTTTAAAATTTAGTAATAGACCCTAATTGTTAAAATTTAAGTCACAAATGTTAAAATTATATGTGTAAAATTTAACCCAAAAATTTCTAATTGTTACTTTAGGAAAAAATATTGAATTTTTTTTTTTTTTTTTGTGCATAATCTAAAATTAATTTAAAGATTAATCAATAAACCCCCTGGGAGGGGTTTTTTAACTATCTAAAATTTACAACCCCATTAATTAGGAAAAAGTTTGTTTAAATCACAAAAATATATCTTTTTTTAATATATAATAAATAAATATATAAACCTAATAAATTTAGAGGTAATTTTAAAAATTAAGTTTTTTAAAATTAGCTCTAAATTTATTAGGTTTATATAATATTTCATAAAAATATTTTCTTGCCTCTTTCAGAAAAAGTTGATTGTGACTTTCACTGGGTGTGGTCCCAAAAATATTTTCACAAAAAAGTGAACAAATTCAATTGCATTTCTTTCAAGGTCTTGTCTTGTTAAAAATATAAATTTTCTGATATTTACGAGCTTCAAATTTTGCTTTAAAATGTCAAATTAGCTTTCAATGTTAATTTAATGAAAGTAAAATTTTAGCTCCTTGCCAAGCTATTGATCTCCCCACCATGACATTTCCACCATTGTACTTTACTATCTCTATCATGCAACTCAATTTGTATGCCATCTTTCTTTCGGCCAAACTTTTTTTGTTTCGTATGTTGATATTAGGTTAAATTTGTATTTATTATTTCAACTTACTTCCTTTCAATATTTTATGGGTATGTTTACTTTTTTGAGAACAATAATCTATATTTCATGTCTTATAGTCAAATAAGGTTTTTTGCGGCATACTCTACTTTGAAATGTAGAAAAACTCTACTCTTGCCCTTGGATTCTATATAGAATGAGCTGAAATTTTGGTTTTGTTGTCATTTTGAACTTTGTTAGCAATATTAAATTACTGAAAAATTTTTAGTGTTAATAATTTTTTTCCAGCCAAAAAATATTGTTTACACTTGTTATTTTTTAGAACAATAATAATTTGGTCATCATGCACAAATACATACAAAAATTCTTATAATAGTTCTACTCTTTGATGTTCATCTATATTTTAAACAGTTTTTAGAAAATGTAAGTAAACAAATGTCTAAAAAAATTGTATGAATATTGCTTGTGCCCACTGTTTATATACTTCTCTTAACTGATGGACACAACAATTGCAAGCATTGTGTTATAACAAGTGTTTAATGTGTAACATTTTAAAGTGTTTTCAGTGAAATTTGGGACGTTTTTTTTTACTTTGCTCTATTTCAAATTTATTCTAAAGAGGTCCATTCCAAGTCTTTTTATTTGATTTTTGTGACCTTGAAGGTTATAAACTATTAGGCTGGGAAAAAGTATTTAAATAAAAAATATGAGAGATTTAGTAGTTTTCAACTAAATTTGCTTTTATTTCAGTATTCTTTTAGTGTAGTAAACACTAAAAGAATACTGTATTTTTAATAAGTATTTTTTTAGCTTTTACTTTAAATAATGGTGACTTTATCTGGTCTTTAAAATGGTCATAAGTAGTACATTTTAGTTTAGTTTATTCAGTAATCTATCAAAAGTTACAACAAAAATTTAAAGCCATAATTAAAAAGAAAAAAATCGGTGAAGGGAGACAGCACCAGGTCCCTTTGTTTTGAGAGTCTAATGCTGCATACAAAGCAACTATAGTTATAAAACAAAGTTCTTGAAACAGTTGACACTTAGTGCATTGATTGCCTTTCGTGGCTGAGCATTCCAGTGACGTATATTATACAGCACTCATTTTGTAAAAAATTTTTCTCTATCAATGAACTTTTCACTTGTTGTTTGTCGAGGTACTAACTGTGACCCCAAAGCATTTAGCTGGTTTTTACTTCATAGAGTGATCTTGAATTGTTGAGTTAGGTTGTCTCGCAATCTGCAGTGTTCAAGGGTCATTAAACCCAGCATTTGCAATTAAAGGTATGTTAAGTGCTTTATTGGTGCAATTGTTTGATGCGCACTGCTGCACTTTTTCCAGTGTTTAAATGTCATGCTTTAAAAATGGCAACCAGGATTGAATCCCAAACTTGAGATGCAGGTGTATATAAGTCATATACAAAAAGCGTCATACGGTAGTACCCTATTTACAGAATGTTTTTTCAGCCTACCAACTATTTGATTGGGTGTTGAAGCTGCTGTTTTGAATTTATTTTTTAAGTAATCTGAGGCCTTGACCCCAAGGTCTCTTTTGATCTTGATAACTGCTAGTTGTATTCAAGATCCATCATCTCTGCGCATATATTGTTATGTTGACCTACGTGCATTACCTTGCATTTTGTCAAATTGAAATGTATACGTTAAGTTCTGAACCATTCCACGGTTTTCTCTATGTCATCTTGTAAGATCCACATATAATTTGATGTGATGCGCAATGTTGTCTGGAAAATCGTTGATAAAAATGACAAATAATAAACTACTACCTATTACTAAATGGTCTGTAAAATGGTTTTGTCTTATGTAGGTCTGTAAAATGGTCTTGTCTTAAGTATAACAGTATAACCTACAGTAGTTAACAAAATTTGTTAAGTATTTAACAAAATATTTGAAAATTTTAATTTCAGTTCTATATTAATATGCATATTAAAATATGTTCTATTTTAATATTTATTTGCACGAAAATAAGATTTATTCATTTGCATTTTTTCATTTTTCATTTTTTTTTTTTGTTTTACAAATTTAGACTTCATCTGTTCCACACAACTACCATCAAACAGCTGGTCGAACGTTACCACAAACATCAGCCACACCAGTAGCAGTGAATGCCACTCCAGAACAACTAGCAAAACTTCGATATGAGCTTGATATTGTTGAGAGGAATGGAGTTGTTTTTAATGAGATGTTAACTGAATTAAATCCTGGTAGAGAAAACCCTGATGACTATCATTTGCTTGTGGTAAAAAAGTTTTTACTTTATACTGATTTCAATACTTTCTGTTATTTTAACTTTTTGCTTTGAAATAAAATTTGAATTAAGAGAATATCAGAATCAAAAAAAAAAATCAAGTGCTATCATAAATACCTAATTCAAACACTACCTGTACTGTGAATAATAAATGGAAAAAATAGTACACAAGAATAAAAGAGATTTCAAACAAAGCATAGGACAGTTGTCATAGTTTTGACAGTTATGACATACATATATATATATATATATATATATATACACACATATGTATGTATATAAAACATATGTACATATATATACACATATGTATGTATATAAAAATAGTTTTAAATGTATTTTACAAAATTGAATGCTTTAATGTTCTTAAAAGAAACAGAGCAATAATAAACTGATGAGTCTTAATTGATGAAACACAGTGTAAAATGAAAAAAGTTTGACAAGTAATTTTCTACTAATTTATATGTGTGTGTGTGTGTCTATATATATATATATATATATATATATATATATATATATATATATATATATATATATATATATATATATATATATATATATATATCCTTGTATAACAGTCCTAAGAGACTTGAGAGAGTCATAAGAGAGATGGTAAAAAGTCTCTTTCAACACTTTTTTTTTAAATTTAAGCGACATCCCACAGTGGGTCAAACAGCTTGGTTCATAACTTTTGAACGGAAAGTGTTATGGGGTTGAATAAGGACTTTTTTAACAGGTTTTTATGTGTAAATTTAGGGAAAAATTTAATTAAAAAATAATTTTCCTGAAGGATAATTAGGTCATAATTTAAATGAACGAAATATTGAAAGTTTCATAAAATTTGCTTTTTTATAGGTTATAACAAAAAAAAGTGTATTAATGTTTATAAATATGTGTATATTTTGTAATATACACATAGGTACAAAAACAATAAAAATTAGCAAAAGAAATACCAAAATACATAATTTATTCATATGTTAACATTTTAAATTTAATATATTTCATCTTCAGATAAAATGTTATTAGAGATATTTTGTTTATGAGAATATTTATCAGAATGTTCTCATTTGTACCAAAATTTGCAGAATGGTTTTGGCTTGTATCTCTTGTCAAAAATAATTTGATCAGATGATATATACATTTAGTTTAACAGTGTCTGCTAAATTGATAATTTAGGAGTTTTTTTCTTGAGAGTCTAGTATGTATCAATCTTAATATTATTTAAAAACTTTGGCATATAAAATTCGCCAAATGGTCACACACAAAGGTATAGATTTACTGAACAAACAAAAATAAAAATAACTAAATAAAACACTTACCGTACCACCAAAAGAAAACATGAAAACAAAATAAATTAAAATTCTAATAGAAACATAAAAATATTAATCAATTTATTTTAAGAAATAAAACCAAATAGGTATTATTAGCATAAACAAGCCCAAGATAATCAGAAAGCAGTATACCTCATTAAAAAATTTTTTAATAAACAAAACAATACCCTTAAATAAACTCTAACGCTGTCATAGATACCTCATTCGAAATATGATAACCAATCAAAAGTGTAGGAAAATGAGTAACCCGCGAAACCCAAAATCATAACAATAATAGAATAATATATGATAGCGAAAAAGAACGTTGCAAAAAAACCTTAAAAATGTAAGCGACATATGTGTAAACATAAAATGTTTCTCTTGTCAAAAATAATTTGATCAGATGATATATACATTTAGTTTAACAGTGTCTGCTAAATTGATAATTTAGGAGTTTTTTTCTTGAGAGTCTAGTATGTATCAATCTTAATATTTTGCTATTACCTTTTAACCTTGAATTTCCCAAACCACTTTTTTCATTATTTAAAATTAGCTCCCAAGAATGACTAATCAATTTTTGAAGTGATGGTGTTATAATGATCCATGATCCAGGTAAATTTGTTTTTGTAACAGGTGGAAACTCGTTAAATAGAAATAAATAAAAATCTTTACAAAAGCTTTGTTTCTATGTCTATGTTAAAAAGTTGTTACAAATAAATTTGAATCAGAATGACAGTCAGCGGTATCCACATAAATTTTTATTTTGTGGAAAATACTCAAAGAATTACTGAGAGCAACAATTCGAACTTTTGAAATGTTGCATGATATTAAACAGGCATTTGTACAATAATTAAATCCCTGTTTGATATTTTGTGCAATAGTTCTCTAACTATATAACCTGTTGTTGTTCCTATTTTTTTCAATTGTATCAGGCTACTCCCATTTTATACCTGTTATTTTTTTAGTATCTCTGTTTGTAATCAAGTCTCTGCTTGCTTCAGAAATTTATTTGAAGCACTGAAAGGAGATTCAGACCAATCCAAAACAACAGGTTTTTCATGTATAACAGTTTTCACGAAATGGTCAAATGTACCCAGTAAAGCATGAAGAACCTATAAAAATATCAGTAATTTTTAAATGTAATAATTTTTAATATCAAGTTTGTTCAGATATTAAAAATATAGAATAATATGAACGCTGTTACAAGATATCACTTTACTTGTATTGGCTTTACATTACTTACATTACTTTAGGTTGGAATTGGTTTGAAGGTTTGTTTGGCCCATGTGATATAAATAGGGTTTTTTTTAAGTAAAGAATTGTCTTCTTATTCAAGTTGGTTAAATGTTTCATTTATAGTTATAGTGTCTCGATTGATTACAAAACAATTTTCAATTCTTTCAATATTCAAACACTGATCTATTGAGCATAGGTACAGATCACAATAGGCACCTTCAATTGCACCTCCAACTCCTAAAAAAAGATTTGCTGCTTTCATACCCATCATATATGACTGCATTATCACCTTTACATTAAATTGTTTTCCCTCTTTATACATAAGGAAAACTCTTTATACATAAGGAAACCCTCTTAAATGTCAGAAATAAAGACAGACAAGGATTGAAGAGTTTCTCTTGATTCTTTTCCCTTTTGAAGGTTCAGCACTTTGTGACCTATATTAACAAAACTGCTTCTGTTTCAAGTGAAAATGAACAAAACATCGTCAGTATGATATTGCTAGTGTTAACATTATCTTTTTAGTTAAATATTTCATGGCTTCCACTGCCATCAAATGCAAATTTATTTTTTTTATATATTTTCAATGTTTATATCTAAAAAATGCTCTCCAATATCTTTTGGGTCGTCAGTTTAATAGCCTGAAATAGAATGAAGTAAACACCAGAATAAGGTTAAAGATAATTCATAATAATTGTTACTTTAGATTGTTTTCTTCTGAAATGTTTCTAACTAGGCAATATATTAAAACCAGCAGTTGAAAGAGTTGTTTTTTTGGTTTGTATATGAATGCTTACCAAGAGCACAAACTGTTTCAATTGACATTGTTTCTATTGGAAACTTTTTGAAAGAGTTATTCTTTAACATACTCTTTAAGCAAGGTTTTCTTACCAGCCTTGAATTGTATGCCAGCATAGCCCATTTTCAGATGCAGATCTTTGCCAACTATTCTGAAATAATATTTTTTGTGCAAATGTCAATTCATGAGAGACAAGTGCCTAGCAGTCATTAGTATACAACCTTTTTATATTTACAGAAATAGTTTTTGATTTTTTATTTTCCTCAGCAATAAAAATTTCAAATAATTCAAATTCAGTCATCTTCCATGCTATTAAACTGAAGATATAAATATTTTTGTTAATGCATTATCTAATATTTAAAAAAAAAAAGGATTTAAAATAATATAATTCAAAATATAAACAAGTAAAAATTCAAAATATAAACGTAAAAATATTATATTGTTACTATATACACAACAAAGCCCTCAGTTTTAATTTTAACTCTTGCAATTTGTTCAATTTAAAACAGATTTCAATGCTGCCTAATCTAGTTAGTATGAAATGTTCATACTAACTAGATTAAATTTTGTTAAAAAAACTTCAATGAAAAATAGGGCAAGTGAAAGGAGGGGGGTAGAGGTGTTGATCAAAAATTGGTCTTATTAATTTTTTTAATTTCTACACTTTTACTGAACACATCTTCCCTTTTAAAAATAATGTAAAACTATTTGAATTAATATTTTTTAATTTATTTTAAAACAATATTAAGAGGTCATTCTTTTACTTTCTTTTTTTTTGTCTAAGTTGTCTAAGTCTGAGTCGTCCTCTTTACTGTATCTGTCCCTGCATGCTCTAAAAACTTTTATTCATCTAGTTTTTTTCCCCGCACTTCAATCCTTTGGAACTCTCTCCCATCTTCATGTTTTCCTGACTCATACAACCTTCAACTTTTCAAGTCTTCTGTCAACTGTTTCCTTGCTCTATAACTCTGTTCTTTTTTTTTCTAGTAACTCCCAACTTGATAGTGGTTGCTTGCTGCCTTGTTGGGAGTGAATGCAAATAAAAAATAATAAAAAAAAAAGTTGGCACAATTTAGTTAAAAAGCATCTTATTCCTCTTTGTTATAGGAGTTTAAAAATATATGGGTTTATTAGTGCCAACTTAGCACTTTTTGAGATAATTTAGTTTTTCTGATAAAAAATTAGTTAAAAAACAATAAGATTTTGCTAAATTTTAGTTGTTTCATCAGCTATTACATGTAAAAAAAATTTTGTGCAATAATCTATGAAGTTAACATTTCTATTTACATAAACTGCAGTCTAAAATTGTTTCTACATATAGTTATCACATTAGCACTGCTTATATACAGGCCTTGTTTTAAATAACAAATGCTAAGCGCATCAGCTTAATGTGAATTTAACATTATTAAATTTTCTTTATCTTTTTATCTTTTAAAGACATCAACTTTTTCAAATTACAGCAATAATATTGATTACCGCAAAACAAGTTAAATATTGTTTAACTTGTTTTTTATTAATATTAAATGTTTATTTCTTTCATTTTTTTTTTTAATATTAATTAATTAAATTTGATATTAAATTAAAAAAAAAATTTTTCATGTAAAAAATTATTTTCCTCAACATTTGTATAAATAAATTAAAATATG